CTGGAATGTAAGAGAATTGAGGGCAATGGGTTTAACTCTGCCCCAGAACGCTTATATAAGGGCTTTCCAAATCCAGCCTGCTCCCGCACCACTCCCAGGATTAGCCCTGTGACTCATGATCCTCCGGTGCAGATGCTTGGTCCCTGGTACGCAACTGGTTCAATGCCAGGGTGCTGCCTTTACATGCTTTATGGTGCAGGTGGAGAGACAGACACGTCTTGGAAAGTAGCTTTGAAATCTAAGGCTGGCCATATAGGGAAACAGAATGAGTTGTCCTTTGTTTTTTAAGTGCCAGGCATATTCACCAGTTAATCTCATCAGCCTCAGATTCCTTAAAGCAAAGTTGCTGGGGCTCAGGAATACTTAGGAGTCCAGGTTTCTGAAGGGGGGGAGTTAATGATGTGGGAGGGAAATGGCCATAGCTGCTACTTAGCGGTTGGGAATATTCTGCATGGGCTCCAGCACGCTTGCTCTTAGCAGTGTGGGCTCTGGCATCAAAACAAAACAAAACAAAACAAAACAAAACAAAACAGGTCTGGAGATTGAATCCGGGTGAAAGGAAGCCCCAGGTAGCTTCTGTAGGGCAGAAAGGAATGCTGACTTCAGTTGTGCGGAGGGAAAATCAACTACAAAGTAGTTTCTTCTCAATTAATGTTTAGGCCAGAACAATCTGAAAGCAGCTGCCTTCCATCCTCAACCTCCACCCACGTCCATGCTGTCCTGGGGCCCCTTTCAACATGCACACTAATGGGAAGGGGGCTCCAGGGCAGCCAGCCCCCTGAGTGAAACTGCTTCTTCAGAGGAGAAGCTGAGGTAATTTCTAACTAGAAGTGAAATTATCCATCTGTATGTGGAATGTACTAAGTAAGACTGAAGGTAGAGGCACCGGTGACTGATTTTTTTCCTCCTCATAAAAAACAGCATGCCCAACCCAACAACTTTCCATCAGTGATACAGAAAAGTAGCATGTCGGAGAAAGTCTAGGGTGGAACACCTCACCCCATCTGCTAGTTTTCTTTCTGGAGGGAGGAACACTCAGTCATCTTGGAAACAGCGCAGTCCAGATGGACATCTTCCATGTTAATGAAACACAGTAAACACATTAGTGAACCCAGAAGCGTAAATTGTGATGAATGTTCACGATGGCCAAATGTCACTAATCCTCAAATGTTGGACAATCCAATGTACTGAACTTCTAAAATCTAATCTCTCATGCTTTGAGCTATAGTCTTCTTCAGTGAAATTTCAAACAAAAGGGTTTAAAACTAATGCCCTTTAAAAATGTCTCATCAGTAGTGACTCATGATCTTCTCAAGATTTAAGACCACATATGCAAAATCCACTAATTACAATATTTTAAAACATTTCCCAAATTGTACAAATTGCTTCAAAGGGATCTTTTTTAATTTACCAAGTGGAAGAAGCTTTTCTGGATGGATGAACTATCAGTCTAATGTACATGACAATTAAGCCATTAGCTTTGGATCATTAGGGACAATTCAACAACATATGATGTCAAATTATCAGAAAAGGTCTGCCTTTTAATGTGCTTACACGCACACTAAAATGGTCTTCTCTTGCCTGAAGACCAGTTTAAAGACCAGGTTTTCCAACCAGGATAATTTCTCAACAAGCTGGACAAAATGTGGACAGTGAATCTGTAAGGAGAAGTTGCAGACTATTTTTGTGGTGGCAAAGTTATGACTAACAGATTTGCACTCCTACTTTCTGTCCCCTGTTAGCGCTTTGTAATGCTGAACGTTCCAGTATGCCACATGTGGTTGGCACTTTCATATGACGTGCCAGACTAGGCTACAACGGAGTTGGGCCGTTTGTGGTTCACTGTATTGTGGAAAACTCAGTTATTGGCTTAACATGTTATATGAACTGAGCTATCATATTATGACATGGTTTATTTGGCCATAGCATGTTATATAAACACAGCAATTTGGCTTTGTTAACCCAGGTTTAGAGTTAACTACAGTACTCTGCATTGACCCAGCCCATGTGTCTGCTGTATATGGAAGTGTATGCAATGCTGTAGAGCACTACCTTCTCTAATTAGGTATCTTCCAGCCATATTGGACTACAGATCTCATAATTCCTAGCAAGCATGAACACTCATTTGAGGAAGTCTGATGTAGAATATATTCTTCTGTACAGACTGGCTGGCAGATATCTCCCTTTTTATTTTTTTAAATGGATCTTCTGTATTTATACTTGGATACCT